TCTATTCTATTCTATTCTATTCTATTCTATTCTATTCTATTCTATTCCTACTCTACTCTATTTCTACTGCACTCTACCCTATTTATTTCTATTTCTATTATTTCTATTTCTACTTAACTCTATTTCTATTTCTACTCTATTCTATTTCTACTCTACTCAACTCAACTGTACTTATTTCTATTTCTACTTTACTGTACTCTACTTACTCTATTTCTATTTCTACTGTACTCGATTCGGCTCTCTTGTATTCCTTATCCAGGCGGCACCCCTGGGCGCCGGGTTGAAGGGCCTACAAAGGAGATTTCCCAGCATTACCAGGAGGGGCGGGGCCCACACGGAGCCCCGCCTTTTCCGGAGGAGGGTGAGTCGGCAGAGGGCGGTAAGGAGGGGTGAGGACGCCGCCCTTTGCTAAGTGAGCGGCTGGGAGCAGGAGGGCGTCGCGAGGCAATGGAGGCGCAGGGCTTCTCCCCGGAGCGGCTGGCGCGCCAGCTGGCCAAAGCCGAGGCTCTGCTGGTGGCGCACGTGTCCCCGCAGGTCCAGGCCCGCTGGCGCTGGGCGGTGAAGCTGGACGGGCCACCGGACCTGGAGCGCTTCTGCACGCAGCTCAGGGAAGCCCGGCGCGGCCGGGAGGCTCTGCTAGACCGGGACGCGGCGCTATCGGAGCCCGAGCAGGAGCGGCTGCAAGGGTTGCTGCGGTTGGAGATGGCGCTCCTGCGCGCCATCCAGACGCTGGTCGAGGGCAGAACCCTGGCCACGGACCCGGCCCCGCGGACCTCGAGGCGGAGGCAGGGGTGGAAGCCCCGCGTGTCCTCGCTCAGGGCGGCTCTGCTGGGGCTGGCGGCCGAGCTAGACGTAGCCAAGCGGCAGAGCCTGCCCTGGGACGCCGCGCTGGCTCTGCAGCTGGCCCTGGAGGCGCTGCTGGAGAAAAGGCCCGGCGAGGCGATCCGGGCGCTGGAGCCGCTGTTGCTGCGGGAAGGAGGGCGCGGCCGGCCGAAGCGGCTGCTAGCTTTGCTCCAGGTTCTGCAGGAGGAAGGCTGGGCCGAGCGCGGGGCCGAGCTGCCCCTGCGGGAGCTGCGACCGCTGCTGGAGAAGGCGCTGCGCCTGGTGCGCAAGGAGCTGCGGAGCTGGCGGGCGGCGGAGCTGGTGAACGCCGAGTGGGCAGGGTCCCCGGAGATGGTGGTAGTGAAGGAGGAGGAAGTGACTCCCGGTGGGACCCTGCCCAAAGTCCCAGGATCCCTGGAAATGGTGGTAGTGAAGGAGGAAGAGGAGGAGGAGGAAGTAACTCAGGATGGGGCCAGCCCCAAAGCCCCAGGATCGTTGGAGATGGTGGTAGTGAAGGAGGAAGAAGAAGAAGGAGATACTCTGAATGGGACCGTCCCAAAAGTCCCCCTGAGCGAGGTAGGACTAGAACACAGGGCCCCCCAAGAGGTGTCTGCGGAGACCTTCCCCAAAGACCGCTCCCAGGAGCATCTTAGGCCAAGAAAGATGCCGACCACAGACTGCAGGTCTCCCTTTGCAAAGGAGACAAGTGGGCGCCTGCAGGCAGAGATGGATGCCTCCGGTTTGAAGGACATCGTCACGTGGAGGAAGAAGGACGTCACAACGGGCCCTGACCAGGAGCTTCTGGAGTCGGAAAAGACAGTTGCCCCCAACTTCAGGTCTGTCCAAAGGAGGCCCTACCCAAAGGAGGCGGCCTCCGGACAGCAGGCAGAGACGGACATCCGCTTGAAGAAGGGTGCCCCGTGGAAGAAAATGGAGGAGCTTCGGCGTGTCCTGCGGGTCGTCACCCGGAGGAAGATGAGGGCTCTGTCCTCCTCCTTGTGGAAACAAGGCCCTCGGAAGATGTGCAGCCGTCTCCACCAGCTTTGCCGCCAGTGGCTAAAGCCAGAAATGAACACGAAGGTGCAGATGCAGGACCTGGTGATCCTGGACCAGTTCTTGTCCTTCTTGCCCCCTGAGATGGAGAGCTGGATCCGGGAGTGTGGAGCCGAGACCAGCTGCCAGGCAGTGGCCTTGGCCGAAGGATTTCTCCTGAGCCAGGCGGAGGAGGAGAAGGAGCAGGGAGAGGCGCAGGTGAGACATTTTCCCTTGGTAAGCTTAAAAATAGGGTGTCAAAGAATAACCATGTGTTGGGATTCTTACAGAGGGCGACAGGGCAGCTCAGTGGTGAAGATGCTGAGCTTGTCGATCAGAAAGTTTTTTTCAAAAAAAACCACAACCAAATCCATCTTTCAGTTACACAGTGTGTCGACTGGGTACATATATCTTGTGCAACTATTGATATTTGTATACATTTTTGCTAAGTGTACATTATATTACAACCTATTCATTATTATATATCATAATATTTAATTTCTTACTTTATTTTCCAACCATTTATAAAATAAATTCCAAATCCTATAATATTCCATTTCTTGTTCTCTAATTGCCAATGTTAACCTACTCATTTCTGCACATTCCAATATTTTCATAATCACCTCTATCCTCTATCGGAACCTTTTCATTTTTCCAGTTTTGAGCAAATACAATTCTAGCTGCTGTTAATATATGTATAATTAAATATGTAATTTCTTTACTAAAGTTCTCGGGTAAAATCCCCAAGCAAAATATCTCGGGCTTTAAATCTATGTTGTTTTGTCATCCTTTCCAAGCAAGTATGTATTTTTGTCCAATATCTTTTAGCTTCTCTGCATGTCCACCATATATGGTAATATGATCCAGGTATCTGAGGATATTTCCAACATTTCCCTGATTTGTCTTTAAAGATCTTTGCCAGTCTTAAATTTTATCTAATTCAGTCAATTCATTATAAAACCCATCTGCTTTAACATCTTTTTCATATCTAGACCCCTCAGATTTGTTGTTGTTAGTTGCAAAGTCATGTCTGACCCATCGTGACTCCATTGGACAAGGTTGCTCCAGGCCTTCCTGTCCTCTACCATCCCCTGGAGTCCATTTAAGCTCACTGCTTCAGTGACTCCATCCAACCACCTCATTCTCTGTTGTCCCGTCCTTCTTTTGCCCTCAACTGTTCCCAGCATTAGGATCTTCTTTGAATTGTTATGAAAAGGAGGCCTGGCCCTTTTTCCTCCCACTGAAAAAACACTATACTCTGGCTTTCAAAATGAGCTGCTGTGGCAGGCAGGGACCAGTACTCTTCAGAGTACTGGAACATCAGAAGGGATCTAAGCATGCTCCACTACCTTTTTTTTTTGCCACTCTTCACTTCTCTTGTTATTCCAGCCTGATGAAAAGGCACAGAGGGAGAAGGGAGAACATCCAGCTTTCCCTGGTTTAAATCCCCTCCACACTTTGCACGCCGAAGCCCTTGGACCAAAGAATGCTGCAATGGTCAGTCGTAAGTGTGAAAAATGGTCATCAGCCACTTTTACTAATGTAGGTTTAGGAACCTGGCGTCAACGTTCCAGAAAACCTCCACTCCAACAAATAATTCCGAGACAGACATCTTTTCAAAGGTGCCTTTTATTAGAGTAGTAAACTGGCACACCTGGGAAATTCCGAATCTGAAAGTTCTGGGTTTCCTTGCAATAAAGAAAAACTACAAATCCACCCCTGCACCCCTCATTGCATCACATGCCCCAATCATCATCCGTCCCAACTTGAGACGTCCTCTCACCCAGCTGCAGAAATAACATGACCTTGACTTAGAAGAAGAATGTTATGTCTAACCACATATGCTCCAAGAAATTCCCCCCTCCCATTTTCCCAGGCTGAAGAATGTGGCAGTGAGGAAGCGTCTGGTGCTAATATGGCTTCCAAAGTTGACACCCGGTTGTTAAGTGAATTGGGCCTCCCTGTTAACTCTGCTTGTCAGAAGGTCGCCAAAGGGGATCACATGACCCCAGGACACGGCAACGGTCATAAATATGAGCCAGTTGCCAAGCTTCTGAAGTTTGATCACATGACTATGGGGATACTGCTAAGGTCATAACTGTGAAAAATAGCAATCGCACCGCTTCACAGTGCTTGTACATCCCTCTCTAAGTGGTTTACAGAGTCAGCCTATTGCCCCCAACAATCTGGGTCCTCATTTTACTGACTGGAAGGATGGAAAGTCTGAGTCTGGTGAGATTCAAACTGCCAAATTGCAGGCAGCCAGCAGGCAGCAGAAGTAGCCTGCAGTGCTGCACTCTGACCACTGCGCCACCGTGGCTCGTTTATGGTCAGAAGTTACTTTATTCAGTGTTGTAACTTTGAATGGTCACTAAATGAGCGGTTGTAAGTTGAGGATTACCTGTAGCATTAGGAAGATACTAAGGAAAGGAGACGTTCAAGGCCAGTTGTTCCAATGAGCATCTGCTTCCTTTTTGTAGGTTCCATTATTTGTATTTCTTTGCTTCTTCAGGGCTTTCCGTTCCAGAGGGCTAACTTGAAGTCTGTTACTGAGAATCTGGAGGAAAGGAGGGATCCACCAGAGTCTTCCCGGGATCTGCTCTTCAGGGAGATCTTCCATGAAGATCAAAGTCAGGCCACCTCCACCAGTAAGAGAAGTTTCCTCAGAAAGAGACATTTCCTCCCCCCCTCATTCTCTGGGCCCTCTTTTGCGTAATGCTTACAAATAACGTAATTACTACGTTTCTGAAAATTTTATCTCGCAGGAGATCCGGCATTGATAGATTCTTCTCCTTTTTCTGCTGGAGATGAAAAAGCAGTTGAACATCCAACTCAGGTAGGAGCCAAAATGTCATGGACGATAGATCAGTTGGAGTATATTTTCATATACTCAATGTAAGGTAGAGAATGTATGAATCTATATATGGTAGAGAATCTACAAATCAGTGAATCTACGAATCTAGAATCTATGAATCTACATGTGGTGGAGAATCTAGGAAGATTCTCAGCTATCCAGGTCATAGTTGTATCAAAAGTGGTTTTTATTTTAAAAAGGCAACTGGACTAATTTTTTTTAAGGAAAAACAAGAATCTCAATCTCCCTCCCTCTGTCTGTCTGTATCTGTCTCTATCATCACCTGTATATCATCTATATCCCTATCATCGTCTATCTATCTATCTATCTATCTATCTATCTATCTATCTATCTATCTATCTATCTATCTATCTATATCCATTCATCCATCTATCATCTATTTTCTCTTCTTAACCTGGAAGCTTAATCAATTGGCTTAGTAACCTCAATGGCTCTCAAAGAGTGTTAAGATCAGTTGACTGTAAATAAAAAACAACAACACACAATCTCCCCCCCCCCCCCCCCATCCTGTCAGAACTCTTCCCCCTCCCACCAACTGACCTCAACTGTCAATTACTGTCTTTCCATCTCCCACAGCATCCAATACGACTCATGAAACCTCCAGGTTAGGAAGCGAAAGATCTCGTTTTTCCTCGAAAAATCAATCCCGTTGCCTTTTTCAAAATGAAAACCTACTTTTGAAACCTCTATGTACGATAGATATTGTTGGTTCTGAGCAACGTGAAATAGTGGGTTCAGATTGCCGATCAGTCATGTTTAACATAAGTCCCCTCTCAAAACTGTTGTTGGACAGACAAGGAGCAGAAATTGTCTGCCATGTGAATGTTTTTTTTATTGTTATTTTTATTATTACCTTTTATTGTACAATTTCCTTGGTTATGTATATTCACAGTAACAGTATACCATCTGGGTACAATCTCTACATTCTCTATTGAATACCGATAATGTCTTATACACACAATAGTTATAACTATTATTCTCAATATCTCTTCATCTTCACTTATCCTTGTTACGAATTTTACATTGATTAGACCCTCTGTTCAGTTTTATTTGTAATCCATTAATAATATCAAACATCTATAAACTTCAAGTAGACAGCACAATTATAGCCAATTAACCACCAAATAATCTTAAACTTTGCTTATTCAGTGTTCATTATTCCATTAGACATCTATGTTTACATATCCAGATTTCTAACTTCTACTATTTTCTACCCACTAATAGAATAATTCCCAAATCAAAAAAGTGATCTCCCCATTTCTAATTTCTATCTTTATACTAATTGACGGTATAGCTCCTTTGTTAAACTGTTGTTTGGACAAGGAGCCAAAATTTGTCTGTCATCTGAAAGTTGATAGCACTCCACAAATTAAAATCTTTTTCATGGGTTCACTCACTTTGTAAAGTTGTTAAGAGGGAGTGGGCAGGTTCAATCCCTCAGGAGATTTTGCGGTGTATCAAACTAAAATGTTAACGATAATCACACCAGTATGTTGTCCTGTATCTGTCAAGTAGAATGAAAACCAGCGATGGGACTACTCGTAATTTTTTGTGTGAAAAGCAAAGGTACAAGCACACATTAGGTGAAAGCTGGCTCAAAAACAGTAACTGTGAGAGGGACCTTGGAGTCTTGATGGATGATCACTTAAACATGAGTCAGCAGTGTGCAGCAGCAGCCAAAATAGAATAGAATAAAATAGAATACCTTTATTGTCATTGCATTCTACAAATACAATGAAATTTGAAAGCTACTCCAGCACAGTGTCCCAAACACCACATCACAATCACACTACAGAGTATTTAAAAATTAAAATAATTAAAATAATAATTAAAAACCTAGTCTAAAACATATAGTAAGTTAGATAGTTTAAAAATGCCACTATATACATAGGTCTAAATCACATATGCATTGTTTGATTCAAGACAATTATTGCCTTGGAAAAGAAACTGTTTCTCAGTCTATTAGTCCTCATTTTAAGACACCTATAACGCCTCCCTGATGGTAACATAAATTAGTTATATAAAGAAAGGCATAGAATCAAAATCACATGAAGCATTAGTACCACTTTATGCTTTGGAAAATAAGTTGACCCTCTCTTCTTGGTGGCAATCCCTCAAATATTGGAATGTTGCTATTATGTCCCCCCAATCCCTTTTTTCTGTAGAGTATCCATCTTTAATTCCTGCAACCGTTCTTCATAGGTTTTAGTCTCCTAGCCTTTTGTCATAATTATTATCCCCTTTCTCATATAGTGTGCTTTCTGCAGAAATGTTGACATGAAATTGAGATAGGTGAACTGACCTAACCCTTTGCAAATGTCTGTGTTACGTATCGTTGAGCCGA